AGAAACACGTGGTCTCCTAGTGACATTGACTCTTAAGAGGGCCTCTCAGTAAAATCCACTCACTGGTTTGGGGAAGGAAAAATTAGATTTAGCTCATATTTTGCATATGAACTAGGCTTTGGTCAATATTAATCGAGCTTCTTTCAGAACGTTTCAACTTTCTGTTTTATAGGAGTTATAGCCATGTTAAAATTTGACCTTGCGAGAATATTTTCAGACCGGAAATGAAGGGGAATTTTACAAGAATTCATCTGATTTTTTAAAAACGTTGTGATGCGTTTATCCCCTCCAGTTACTGTTCACATGCAAGATTAACACTAATACTCTCATTTACATGGAGATTGAACAACTTTATTTGCTTAATACGATTTTTTTATAGTTTTACGAAACTATGTTTTCAAGATGTCAACGAGAGGCTTGAAAATTGCTCATATTTTACTTAAAATAGCTCAAAAGTGGCACCTATCTGAAGTTCAAAAGGCATGTAATTTGAAAGTATACCTACTAAAGTTAAGTAATCAGGAATAAAACTCGTTTGCAAGCAATTTTCTGAAAAGTTATAAATCTCCAAATTGGGTCAATTTTTAGCTGTTTGTTTACATTCGCGTGTTCGCTGATCAGCGACACTAGTAATTGAAGAGTTAAAATAAGCTGATTTATTACCCATGAGTAAACCTTTTTAGCTTGTTCAAAAGAACATATACAATTTTGTGAAAATATAATTACAATATATGCAATTAAGCGATCGTGTACAGAACATTCTTGAATTCGAATTACTTTACATTTATACTTAACTTTATACACTTGCACTAATTATACACTTTCAATATGCACATACAGTAGTACAGTTACAACGATTCTGCTGGTGTCTACGATCCTGATATCTTTTAATGTTATTAAATAATATATTGGTAATATAATCGTCAATACATTGACACAATACCATAATCTCCTGATTATGACCTTGATCCAGGGGCGCTGGAAGCAATGTGAAGCAGCGGGGCAGCCATTTCAAAAGGTCACTTGCTTCTAAGCAATCATTTTTCTGGGCGGCAATATTTGTTAAAACTTTATTGTATGGATACTCAGTTACTTGTGGCTATTGTGGGTCGGCAAACTTCGACATTAATTTTGAACAATTTTATTCGTTGCACCATTAAGGGCGCTGATAAAATCAGTAAACAGACGTATATTGCCTGGTTTAGCATTAATCAGGGGCCGCGGAACCGGGGACAATGGGGCATGTGCCTCACCGCATTTTGAAAGTGAAAAAATGCCTTTTGGGGGGGCTAGAAAGGAAATGCCCTTTTTGTAGTAGTGAAGACTCTGTAAAGGCCATTTCCGACTTTATAGGAACTCCATATTTTCAAAAATCGTTTGATTTTGATCCCAATTATACAAAAGTAATTCCGCGGCCTCTGGCATTAATTTTACTACAACTGGTTCAAATTAAGCAAAGATTGCTTAAAATAGTTATAAATTCCAATTCATGTTAATAACGCACAAATTTCGAAGCGCAGTTCTGGTGAAAAAGGGCAAGCTGTTGCCCCCGTGCCGCCCCCGCACTGTTTCGGCAACGGAGGCAGTTGCCCCCGTGGCTCCGGCGCCCCTGCCTTGATCTGCCGCTAAGTTCACTCCAATAATCGGTGAATTATTCGTACTTTAACACTTATATACTATCTATAAGTGGCTCTGGTCCACAAAACACACTGTTTCCCTCGGCCTCGATCTCAGTAATATAAAGTGATAGTACATAAGTTTAATGTTTAGTTACTTTTGTTCTATTCAGTCTATGCTTCTGTAAACTAGAACAATAGTAACTAGGCATGTGAGTTATCCAAAGCTGTGAATTGGGTAGCAACGATGTAAACAGAGTTACCCAAATTTGTCTATTGGCTTCATTTTTTATAGAGTCTATACACTGATCTCATATTGACAGGATAGACCCAAATGAAAAATGAAACTGAACTAATAATAGACTGGATAGTCATGTTTGTCAGCTATTCCTGGGTAGGTAAAAGTCCCCTCACTCGTTGATGGTAAGCCTCGTGAGGTGACAACTGCTGGGGTGAGTACAAATGTCTGCATTACACTCCCCAATTTGTGCAACTTTCTGTATTCCCCGGCTTTCTCCGCATGCAAAATTCCCCAGGCCAGAGAAAGAACAGTTCTTTTCCATGACTCAAGCATGCACAAATTAAAGTAAAAATAGGAGCTGCTGTCAAAAATAACTGACAAGCTAGTGTTGCAGTTCATCATGAGCCCCACCTTTGAATTTACTATATGAGTAAATTCTTAAACACGCCCGTCATTATGATATATTCGCAGCACATTTTCAATTTATCATAATAATAAATTCGCGGCACGTACTAACACCTAACCACTAATCCCCTAACTCCTAACCAGTAATCCCTAACTCCTAACACTAACTTTTTTAACCGTTTTAAATTTTTTTAACTTTTTTAAAAATCTAACTTTTTAAACTTTTTTGCTTTTTAAAACTCTTTTAATAAAACGTTTTTAAAAACTATTTTTTTGAAAATCTCTGTCTCTTACTGCAGTATTTCTGTCATTGTAGTGGTTAACAAATTATAGGGAAATACGACGACATAACTTAAATTTCAAAATTCTTATGTGTTCATATGCAGTGAATCAAACGAAAAATGCAACCTTTGTTACAATTATTTAAAATATTACAAAAATAAAAAACAACTAAATTTTATCGCCATATTTCTCCATAATTCGGCAACCGCTACAATAGCGGCAAATGACAACAGACTACAAAAGCGGAAGTGGGAAGGTTGTAGTATTTTGACTTGCATTATGTACAAAAATATGTTGCATCCATGCTGCCAGAATTAATGTCCGATCCGACCTTTCCGGCAAAATTTCCATTTACAGCGACAGAAAAAGATTATACGAGACAAGTTGAATAAAAAAGTTAAAGCACTGAACACTTTTTATGTACAGACAGAGATACTGACAGCTTTGAAATTTGCTACAACCACAGAAAGTACTGCCGGATTATACCTTAAAAAGATATTTAACAGTTGTGAAATTATTCATGCGAATAACCCAAGAATGGTTAATGTTGTATTTTTAATGTTTTTATGTTGTGAATTAGAACCTGGATAATAAACCAGCTTATTTAACTTTTTAATTATTACTAGTGTCGCTGATCAGCGAACACGCGAATGTAAACAAACAGCTAAAAATAGACCCAATTTGGAGATTTATAACTTTTGAGAAAATTGCTTGCAGACGAGTTTTATTCCTGATTACTTAACTTTAGTAGGTATACTTTCAAATTACATGCCTTTTGAACTTCAGATAGGTGCCACTTTTGAGCTATTTTAAGTAAAATATGAGCAATTTTCAGCTTCTCGTCGCCATCTTGAAAACATAGTTTCGTAAAACTATAAAAAAATCGTATTAAGCAAATAAAGTTGTTCAATCTCCATGTAAACGAGAGTATTAGTGTTAATCTTGCATGTGAACAGTAACTGGAGGGGATAAACGCATCACAACGTTTTTAAAAAATCAGATGAATTCTTGTAAAATTCCCCTTCATTTCCGGTCTGAAAATATTGTCGCAAGGTCAAATTTCAACATGGCTATAACTCCTATAAAACAGAAAGTTGAAACGTTCTGAAAGGCCCTTTTAATGGTTGTTTGTGTTTGATTTATAAAAATAAAATAAAATACGATCCTGTGTGGTAGCTATTTTCCCTTAACCCATTTCTCTAACCCTCTTCCAAGTCCCGGCAAACTTTCAAAAAGGCCTTTGGGGCCACAAATATTTAATGTTAGGAAATCAGTTGACATTCATCATTTGACATTATGCCTCGGAAGTGTAAAGATTGTCCCATCTGTGGCAAGCGAGCTTTAAAAAAATTGGCAAACCATTTGGCAGACGTCCATGAACTTTCGTCCCAAGAAAGGCAACCTTATCTTATCCTATTCGTGCTAAGCCAACAGCTTTAGACTTAGAAAATAATGTTTTAACAGAGTTGTACAGACTAATTGGGAACAGTAAATAGCAATCAAAGTGGATTATATAATAACTACAGTGAAACACGCAATTTGATTGGTCAATAGCCGTGCAGGATCAGACAATCCTGCACGGGAAATTCTGAACAGAAATTATTGCATATAATTTTACAAATATACTCGCATTGTAAAGTTTCATTGTACGATACCTTTCGACTTTGAAGTAAGTTTCCAATTATTGAGACGTTGGTTTAGTTGTATGAATAAATTTCTGATCGATACATTGCTATTCAGCAAGTAGCAACGCGTAAGCGTTGAAATTCATCAGACCATGGCATGCAAGTACAACATCTCTCGCTTCAAAGTTGATCAAACGCTTCGCAATCTTCACATATTCAGGTCGAGAATCTTCAAAACTACTTTGGCTCTCTGTTTAGCGGGTTTTCCATTTCAAATTTCGTATATTGTATCGAAAAAGTCCCTGTATTTTCGCTGTATATTTTCGCGAATTTGCGATCAAATTCTGTTCACATATGTTGTTGTTTTCAATAGCGTGGAGTAGGGATTCTCTGATTGGTTAATTCACGAATGTTGTGAGAACTGCACATTTCATCAGTAATTTTAATCAAGTTAAGCGTCGTTTCACTGTAGTAATTTTATAAAACGATTACCAAATGGTTTTCCCGTGCAGGATAGCATGATCGATGCACTTGGGATGTTGCTCGACTTTCGGAAAGCGTAAAAAAAACACTCGCCTACGGCTCGTGTACTTTTACGCTTTCCGAAAGTCTCGCAACATCCCTTGTGCATGGATCACGCAATCCTGCACGGAAAACCATTCGGTATTCCTTTAATAAAAGCGGGATAAAGATTATACCCATCCGTCAACCAAAATCCTCCAGGAAGAGAACAAAATGGAATAAAAAATCTGCAAAGAACGTGGACAATACAGAAATGAATGATGGCTCAGAGGAGCAGTTAAAGTTAGAAACAAAAACGTGACAAAACTCTTAAGTGGATAATATATTTATACAGATAAGAAATATTAACTTTGTGGTACTTAAAGAAATAAATGTGTTCTAAAAATGAAATCATGTGCACGTGCTTTTGCCTATTTTATATCCGCGCTCTGTGTCCACGCTTATAATAGCCCGGTATTATCTTTCAATGTCCCTACTATGATGTACATGTTGTACGCATCTTATCGCTAATGATCGTTTAATGATCGTAGGTGTTTGCAAATAGCGAACATAACAACGCATAGTAACGCGTGCATGTGCTTACTTCGCTTGGTATATTTATTAACATTGCTCGTTGTGACAAATAGATTTCTCGCTACCATTTTGTAAACATACGAAAGTTAAATAGGCAATAATCACGACCAAAGTTTGTAACATTGATCTCTCTGTAGACTTGTTCAAGGTTTAGTGATCATTGTTTATATGAAACGATAAAGTTTGCTTATCGATGTGAACTGATCTCGTTACTGTGTTGTGCCGCTCAGGGTTGCCAGGTCTCAGGGCATGCTCAGAGCCAAACACTGTATAAAATGAGGCCAAATTTTACCAAAAGAGGCCAAACTACTAATTTTTCAAAAAGCCTAAATGCAACCTTGGCCCAGGGCCTTCCTCGCCCTAATGAGGAAGGCCCTGGGGACAAGGTTGGTTAAAATGAAAGTATGAAACGAAATTGAGCTTTAGCCAGTTACGTAGGATTTCTGTGTTCATATCCCCCTGCAGGCTAAACAAAATTATTAATTGAAATTACCGAATCAAAATTGTGGAAAGTCAAGAAATGAGGGCTAGAAAGAGATAACACACACTCTTGTTTTTTTTGTTGATTATATGAATATGTCATTTGTAGAATAAAAAATATTCGTGAGGCGGACGTCTGCGAAAACAGTACCAATTAAGCTTGATCCTATATATTATGATTGGCTATTTTTATACACTTACAATTGGCTGAATTTTGTGAACTGTGATTGGACGAAACAAGCAGCTAAGTTATCCGCATAATGTAAGATGGTTGCTCCGAGAAGTGATACACAAAATTTTGTTTCGTTTTGGCCTGTTTCTCATGATTAATTTAGTATTACACGTGAAATTAAAAATAGCTCTTGAAAATAAAAAGAGGCCAAAAAGAAGCCAAATGGCCAAATTTATTTTTCGAGGCCAAGCAAGAAAAAAAAGAAGCCAAATTCGAGTTATTTGGCCTCCAAGAGGCCAATCTGGCAACCCTGGTGCCGCTAATTGACCATTTGTGTAATAGGCTAAATTTTGATCTAAACAAGTCTGGACAAAAATATCAGCACAGCTTGAAAGAGCATCACAAAATTAGTAATATTCCAAAGTTTCGTTGCAAAATGTTGTAAAATGCGAATAATATAGCCTTGCGAAATTTGCAATTTTCAGTCATTTTAGATTACAAACGGGAAATTGACAACCCAATACCCTTTGGGGTATACAAAATTAATATTATAGACATCTATTGAATGGTAAACGTCAATTAAAATATTTATGTGCCTAGATCCTATAAAATTGATAAACTATATGATTAATATCGTGCAGTGGCGGCGAAACCGTTTTTATTTAGGGTCAATTTTCAGCTAAGTTGGATGGCGTAGTTTTCAGCTCAATGCAAACACTACACACAATTACTAACATTACTAGAAAATACATGCATGCAGAAACCCTCGCCTTGCTGACAAAACCATTGTATTTTCCGAACATGAAGTATCTAAAGTAGTTGCCATGGTAACACGATACTTTTTTAAGAATATTCGGTAATCGTTCAGAGGTAATCGTTCTTACAAATGAAAAATCGCTTAAAAATATCACTTTTAATTACAAAATTATCAATTTCCCAACATATATATGTTAGGTATGATATTATACGTAATATAAGCTTCAATTTAAGGTAAAATTCAACCACAAACGCTTCGCAAAACGTTTTAAAGTGTTCTTTATAAAACTAAACTGCCTTTAATGAAATGGCTTTATCGATAAACTTTGAGTTTGCAATAAAATGATTTCAAATTCTAGCATGCAAATAACCTTGGTACCCGGACATTTTGCCGAAAGACACTTTGCCGAAATTAAAGACACTTTGCCGAAAGACATTTTGCCGAACGGACATTTTGCCGACGGTCATTTTGCCGAACGGACGTTTTGCCGAACGGACATTTTGCCGAACGGACATTTTGCCGAACGGACAGTTTGCCGAAAGGACAACTTGCCGAAAATAAAGATGTTATTTCGTCAAAATGTTTGGGACTGTGACTCATTTCTCAACTGTGTAATTCTCAACCATTGTGTAAAATAACCATTATATGGTCATTAGCAGTGCATAATGGTCATTAGCAGTGTATAATGGTCGTTAGTAGTGCATAACCATATTGACTATTGGTAGTTGTTTGTGCAGCGGATGACTCATTTGTTAGGAACGTGTTTTGACGTCAGATCGTAAACCAACAAGCGTATATAAAGACGACGTAAGCGAATTTCATTTCGAGAATCATTGAATGATGTTATTCTTTATATCGCGAATTTTCGGTAAACTTGTCAAAACTTGAAAGAATATAAACGAAACTATACTTCACTATCAAAGTTTCTGTCATCAAAATCAACAATTAATGACTTTAATCACAGAAACTTTGACCGTGTAAGCGAACGTTTAAAGTTCAGAAGATATCTGTATTTTCGGCAAAATGTCCGTTCGTCAAATTGTCCGTTCGGAAAAATGTCCATTCGGCAAAATGTCCGTTCGGCAAAACGTCCGTTCGGCAAAACGTCTGTCGGCAAAATGTCCGTTCGGCAAAATGTCTTTCGGCAAAATATCTTTCGGCAAAGTGTCTTTCGGCAAAATATCCGGCCACCATAACCTTGCTTTCTTTTTTATTTAAAAAAATTCAAAATAATAAAAAAGGGAATCAATATTAAAGATACATTGAATTGGGGCCCAATATGCTGTCTTGTTTAGTTGTTTCATATACGCAAAGGCCGTCGGGTTTTAAAGCAATTATAAAATCAACATTAAAAACAAACTTACCTTCGTTAACGTCGGCTCCCTTCTTTTAGCCGATTCTTTCGCCATTTCTTTCTTGAAATTTACAAAATCTTGCAAAAATGCGAGCAAAAATGAAATATATTTGCAGGAAATTCATCAATCATCAAATAAAGAAATGTTTTCTATTTCGCTGTCGTCATGCAGTCGTTATAATGCAAACTCTAAATTGGACCAATCACAGTGTTTGCTATTCATGACAGTCCGCCATATTTTTGAGATCAGTGAGGATGACCATCCACGCACAGTGACCCACGCCCGCGATATTTGATGAACTTTAGACTTCCCTAATGCTTTCGTTTCCCCGGGTGTAAATAGCCGGGGGGAATTAGTACCCTCGCACGGCGCTTCGCGCCGCCGGCTCGGGGATAAAAAAAATAAAAAAAATGCTTCGTAATTGGTTTGGATTAGTTCAGAGGACATAGTGGGGCTAAAATCGCCAGCAAATTAACTCCAATTGAACTACTGTATCTGGGGAGAACTGGCGAGCTGCTTATCACCATGTGATAATGTTATCGGTGCTGAAGCCCCCCAGTTCGAATTCACTTTAGGAGTACGTCAATCGTTGACCGGCAATGCCGCTAAATTTTTTCACTCTGCCTTTCATGCAGCAATCTCGAAACTTCATTTTGCTGTTTTAATTTGATCCTTTCTTTTTTATTGAGGGGCCTACCTTACAATCTTCCTTTTCCTAAACTGCCAGGGTCACCAGTGACAATCAGTGTCACCACTTTTAGCGCGCGTCACATCCTGTGAATATGAGATGAGATATATTCACCACGCGAAACACGCTTTTAAACGCGCGTCCCAAAGCTAGTGATACTTAAAAAACAATATCGCGATTATCGTCTAGAATGTTATTTTACAATATTCGTAATATTCGGATTTCAGTTAAAAAGCTACGTACCATACAAAACAATATCACGATAAAAAAATTTACGCGCCAACTGAACGAAGATAATTTTAAGTTACAGTATGTACCACAACACGCGGAACCTGTCAGCCGAACGTTTAGATGAATGGATTTCAGATTTTCAAGATGTCAATAAAGTTAATTTGAAGGCGAACGTTAAAAAGGAACCTAGCAAACGATACTGGATACAAAATAACTACAGATGTCGACGTCAGCCCAAGACGCGCGTTGAAATGCATATTTCGCGTTGTGAACATCTCATTTTATATTCACCGGATGTGGCAACACCGATTGTTACTAGTGACCCTGGCAGTTTACGAAACGGAAAATTGGCTCGCCTTCCCCAATGCCCACTTTTATTTCTGCTAGCTATTGCCGACCTAGTCCCCATGTTGCGCCGCCCATGTCATTTTGTACAATATATATTTTTAAATCTTAAAAAGTCAGTATTTCTAAGTAGAAGCCTGGCATAGGTAGAATGTCTGAATGTATTCATTACAGTGTCACGAAGTCATATTTTACCGCTTTAATTAAGCGAAGAAAACTTTGCGATCAAATTTTGTACATGACCTTCGCAGCCGATATTGAAGGCGACATCATCTTGGACTATTTCGTCACCTAAATCGTCTGTCGAACTGGAATTTTCTTCTTTTACTCTGTCATCATATACTTCCACTGGATTCTTCTCAGTGTTTCTGGTCTCTTGCTCATTCATCATGCCATTTTCTTTTGCTTCTCCAGCAAATTCTTCATTCGTATTATATTGCGTTGAAACAGCACGGATATCATCGCCACTAATATTGGAAGATGCATTGACTGTGTTGTGACTAAAATCATAAAAGGTGAGAAAAATATTCCCTTCTAATGTAACTGTAAACAATACGCAATTTGATTGGCTAATGCCCGTGAATTATTACGCAATAACGCTCTGTAGTCTGTGGCAGTGCATTGGTCGTCCTGGTGGTACGGTTTCCCGGCTTTATCTCCCTTTTTTAGCCAAAATATAAACAAATTATCAAGTTTTTAATTTTGAAATGAAAATTTGTACCGAATAGACCGATGTCAACGAGAAAAGTAATTTTAGGCTATCGTGTAAAATTAACCACGCGTAAAGGAAATCTCTTTACATGTTTAGGGCAAAAGCAAAAATATATGCAGAAATGTATCGTGTAAACCTTGAAAAAGATGATGGAATGCCAAAAAACATGGGTTAATGCCGAACACTGTGTTCGGTCGGTTTAGATGGCATATTCTGCATATGCAACGTTCAGACCTTTAACACTAGC